GGGGACTCCGGCCTGCCAGGGGAGTCCCGGCGTCTGCCCGGGGACGCGAAGGGGCTCCTCCCGAGGATGCCGGGCCGGGGCCGAGGGGAGCCAGGCTGTGTCCATATTGATCGGAGATGGAGCGAGGCAGACAATGCGGGTGGGGGTCGCGGTGTGTGGGGGGAGAACGATGGGAGCGAGGATGAAGGCGCCGTACGCCAGGGGCGCTACACGCGCGCGTACCGCCCGCGTGCTCTGCCCCCTCCTCCGTTTTTTTTTTTTTTGGACAAGAAGGGATGCTCGCTCTCCAGCTTAATGATTGAGTGCGGCTTGGCTGGGATGGGAATGACAGCTAGAACAGAAGCGCAGTCTGTTTGCAAACCTCGTAGCTAACTTTATGGGGGGTTTGGGGAGAGAAATTGCAGGCTGGGGAGCAACTAGAAGGCTTGGGAGAAAATAAATCCACGAACCGAATTTTCTTTGCTGCTTGATATGTGTTTGACAGTGCTCTGTGCGGCTGTCAAATATTTCTTCTGTAGCAATTACTAGTGGTATGTGTTATAGCTTGCAAATTTTACTTGTGCTCTTTCATATAGAAATTCTTAAGAACTGTGTAACTATTCATCTTTAATTTCTTATAAATTTATGCATGAATAAATCAAGATCTTTAATCATCACTGGATAGAAAACTCCGTATTTTAAATGCAATAGATAAATGTTATTTAATTTTTATAGGTAGTATTTAAATATTAATAAATCTTAAAAAGTATGGGCTCTTGGTTATATTCTTCCGGTTTTGCTCTTACGAGGTACCAGAGTAGGTCAGGGCCCAGCTCACTTTGCTATTGCTTGTAGTTAGGTTAGTTTTCCTAGACTGAGGCTGAGATGTCTCTATTAAAACACAGCTGAGGTTTGAGGGCTTATGATGAGAAAAATAGGTCATTGTAAAGATAACATTTCTGCCCAACTACATCATCCATGCCCTTAAACAGGGAAAAGAAACTTCTAATGATGAAATAGGTCCAAAACCTGAAGCATGTTAGTGTGGACTGTATTTTTTTCCTTTAATCTGATAATACATTTTACAGGATCCTGCTTCCTAGGAGACTTACCCATTCCTAAGGGGTTGGTTGGCTTTCTCCACAGTAATACATTCAAATTTGGCATACATCATTTTCCTTTAGAGTGACAAACTGAGAGGTGATGCTGTACTAGGAGTTCTTCCACTTCCTCATTGCACTGTTTTGATTTAGAGTAAGATCTAGGACTTTGAACTTGAAAGGACCCCAGTGGCTTTTCTTTTTCTTTTTTTTTTTATGTTGATAGGGCCTTAGAAAACATTTAGCATGTAATTATCACACTGCTCAGAGTAAGAGAGCTCATCTGTTTTTTCTTTAATATCACCTGTTTTGTTGACTTACTGGTGTTAAATATGATGACCCTACAGTCTTCATAATGCTTCCTAATTTTTTGAATGTTGGGGGTTTTTTTCCCTTCTTACCACAGCAGCAGCTCTTACAACTTCTATTTGATACAGGAAGCTTCATAATGTGTGGTAATTAATATATGGAGAAAACTGCAGAAGTGCTATTAAGTAGTGACTTATTCTGAAAAATCAAGTGGCTCCTTGATCTGAGCTGCAAGTCATAAATTTCCACTTCATATATATAATTTTACTAGAAGTGTGGTAGCTGTGTATCAGAACTTGTAATGCAGTGAAATCAGAATGATTCATAAATAGGGTTGAGGCTCACACATACATGCTGGAAATGCCAGTTCAATTTTAACAGTAGCATTGCTGCTTATTGCTGTTCTGTCAGTATAGATCAGGATCTCGATAGCTTAATAAATTCCCATATATTTGCTCATAGATGTTAGGATCTTGGAACACGTCGTATCTCTATGATGTTTCTTTCCCCTCTCACACTTTATAGGCTTTTTTTGAGTCTGTGCTGCAGACAGTGGTGAGTAGCCCAAATTATTTCTTTTCTGTCTGCATTCTGAATGATAATTGCTTCTCAAAATCTGATTTTGGGACCATATTTCTGCATTGTATGCTTTCATTTGTAGTGTACGTAGAACACGATCAGTTGTATTGCTTTCAGTAATGGATCTGTGTTCTGCATCTAAGGAATAATCCCATTTTAAAACACAAGGGATTTATTGGTGCAATCCCTGTGTGCTCAGGGTACATGACAGTTCTGAATTTTTATAATAAAGTATTTGATATATTATGCTTAATAATCAGCATAGATGTGTGAAAAGGGTGAAGAGATTTTGGAAAACATCCTTCTCCAGAAGTATTGTACTGCTCTTAATCAGCCTTCAAAATGTGAGGAAGTTTTTTTTTTGAGTTTGGTTTGGTACAGTTTGTGTCACTCTGTTTTACAGTTTTTATTAGATTTTCTGTAAAATTTGGTATGGCCTGGAGTTAGAGAAACAACTCCATGAAGTATTTGGGATGTAAATAATTAATGGCTTTAATCTTTGAAAAAGAGATGCCCAGCTTCTGTTGCAGTGGGTATCAGATATATTTTGTTGATTATCCACCTGTTTCATGCATGTTTCAGGGTTAGAGACATTGAGCTTTGTGAAGGAAGTTTGACACACAATTTCATAGAGAAGTCAATCTTAGTAAATTCTTCTTAGTATATTTCTTAATTTTATGTTGGGCTAGGAAGTGGGTGTAACCATGATAAATAACCATTTCTTGGCTGTTAGGAAACCTCACAGGAGCAGTTTTAACTCGCTACTCTGTAGAATGAGGAGTCTTTGCCTTACATGAATGGCTTCCCGTACATGAACTAACCTTCAGGACAGGATTTTTCTCAAGGCTTTGCCTTTGTTTTTAACCTTATACTAAGAAAATTCTTGTCAGCTAAGCCATTTAAGTCCTAGCATAGGGTAAGATATCATTTTTGAAGTGGTCATTGACACGATGTTAGTGTGCTTTTTTTTTTTCTGCTCTTGAGGATGAGACATAATGAATTTGGTTAAATAGAGGCTATTCTGAATTTAAAATGAGTGCTAAGAAGTGGTATGTAGTTTGTGGTAAGTAGTAGTGGTAAGTTTTCTTGCAGTAAGCTCTTTGAAACATCGAGAAAAGTTTGTTCAAAGCTTCAGTGAGTATTTATGTACAGTCAGCTTTGGGGGAAGAAAGGATTATCTCCTTCTTAGGTGAGTTTGTTTTTCCTTAATAATATATTCAATGCCTTTCTCTGTTATTGGAATATTACTTACTTTAGGCCATGCCCGAACTGAAAAATTAACTAGTGTACTTTACATTGCCCGCATTGTTTACACCCTCTGATGATTTCTGTGGAAAAAGTACTTAGCAAGAAGATACCCTTTTAGTCTCTGTCTGTGTTTCTCGTAGCCTATGTACATGAAAATATCGTTTTAAGGTAATTGGCAAGTGATCAGTGGATATGTGGGCTGCTACTCTGGCAGATTTTCTTACTCCTCTCTTTGCGTTTACTGATGAGCAAATCTGTTAAAAATCCCAAGCAGATGTTGCTGGAAGGAGCTGGTGTGGGGTGTGGTATGATTTTGTGCAGGGAGCCAGCAGGGATGTGGAGCTAGTGTCCTGGCCCCACACGTCTGCGGGAGCCATGCACGGAGAGGGAGAGCGAGCTCCTGATAATGGAAGTGTTTGTTTAGCCCTGAACTCCCTTTTCTACGTTCACAGCCATGCTGGGAGAGTATCTGTCTGCTTGTAGAGAGGAAGGCAGCCTGAGCATGAACTTTGCTGTTGCTCTCACGTAATCTGTGTTGCTTTAAAAATAAAATGTTGTAGCTGCACGAAAAGGTTTGCACCAGCACTGTGGTTATACAGACCATTTTAGGATTCATACACTGAGAAGCAGTGCATTAAGATTTGACCTTATTTCAGTATTGTTATTTAAGGGTGATAATTTGGAAGTTAAACATCAGCACTTGCTTATAAGCATCGTTTCATATATAGTTGAATGTGAAAAGCTATGTACACACAGGCCAATAGTCGAGACCTTTTTGGACTTTGCTCTGCCAGGGTCGTCTTCTGGTTTCAGTAGTTTGCTATGCACCAGACACTGTTTTTCAGAGAGTATGTATGTAGTTGTCTGTGAATGTTCTTGCTGAAACTTTCCTGAGATGTTGTAAGGCAAAGTAATTGCTCTCTTCTGAAGGAGGGAGGTTTGTTTTCCCCACTTCTTACCTTGCACTAACTTTAAGTGCCTGATCCCACATTAAACAGACTTAATTTGCTAAAATGATATAAAGCTAACCCTGATAAAATGAAGTAAATATTGTGGATTAGGAAGTTGACCTGGTTTATATCCTGGTTCGGTGAGCATCAGAGCAGATGGATAAAAAAGGGGGGATTTTGAAAAGTGCTGCAGAAGGGAGAGCTGGGAGTGAAGAATAGGGAAGAGGAAGCAGGGTTGAGTTCCTTCCATTTTGAAAACAGCAAGCTTATTTTGGCTACTGTAATGTGAAACTGTACTGTGAATGCGATCCGGGCTGCGAGTAGTTGTGACCTGTCACAAGGAATTTAGTAAAATAGTAATTGGGGCACAAATGTTGCCTTTTCTTTCCTTTTAAAATTATCTGTGAAGTTTGAGCATATTGTTCTTAGACCAATGATAAAATAAGATTAATGGAGTAAGATATTAATAGCCATATTTTAAGGTTGGCAATGCAAGTCAGAGCTGTCATAAACCTTTTTTAATTCTAAGAACAGTGTGGTATCAGTCAACAACATTTATGTGCTAATTCTTGGTAAAAGTTAAACTCTATAATCAATAGCATACTTTTAAGGTAATTTTGGTATAGTATGTATAAAGTGTTCTAGTTGCCATGTAGGATACATTTGTAAAAAGGTGTTTGTCGATAATTTGTAATTAAGCCATAAAATAGATGTAAAGAGTATGACACTTCTTTCTTAAACTGTTTAAAGTTTAAGTAGATAACTGTTTGGTACACAATTACATTTACGTGAAAAATTACTTAATGCTTGAGAAAAACAACCAAGGATGTACCCAAGCATGGCGAGCTCTGCAGTGTGTTGTAGCTGCCTTTTTAACAGTTACGGCACGGTTAATTGTTCATGACTTAAATGAAATAGATGGTAGTATGTATTTGAAAGTTACAGAGAGACGGAGAAGGGGTTTCAAAGTAGCTTTTATTTTTGTGATTACACTAACAGCAATCTAGGCAGTTAAATTTGCAGGATGCTCCCTGTAAAAGCTGCGGTTTTGTC